AAGATAGAACAAATCGAAAATTATGTTTTTGTCTAGAAGCTTTCCAGAAGTCCTTTCGAAACACTATGGATTTTTAAAGTCTTTTTTTTGTAGATTTCTCATAAATGGAATATAAAAATAGTCTAGATATTGTACATTCTGAAGTTCTGAAGTCATTCTAGTATTTTTGAGTTTTTTAACATTAGATGAAAACAGGCGGAAAATCCTAAATGTCGAAAAACGTGACTTTCGTTAGTTTTTAAAATCTTTTTCTAAAGCAAATACTGCCACACGACTCAACATGGTTGATTACCTATAATCCACTCGTTTCCGAGATCAGTCAGTCAGTCAGTTTATTGACAAAACTTCATGAGTAGCATAGCACAAGTTGTAAACGTAGCTAGTACAAAATATCTCAAAGAGAAAGCCTGTTATATAAGTGAGAGTTGAAATGAGTTCGAACAATGGAGGAGACGTTCGCATGTAGAACGTTAAAATCCCTAGAGGATGTCCAATTTGTCTGGTCAGACCACTGGTCAGATATCTGTAAGTGAAAAAGTCCTTACCTGTTTTTCAGGCCAGGTTCTGTTTTTCTCCTGATCAGTGGAAGAAATCAAGGCCTCGAGCTTGTTGAATATATATATAAAAATTAGGTGTGCTAATCGCTCATAGTGCGCAAAAATCAGCAGAAACCCCGAAAGTTTTCTGAAGACCCTTTGAAGATCTTTCGGTGTAACCATCAAACTCGGAATGTCGTTAGATATCTCTTGTACGTAAACCAAATTTAAATAGGCGTAAGTTAGGTGTAGTTGCTAAGGACTCAGTTAGTAGTGTATTCCAGTCAACCGCATTACGTTCCGATGATCTAGTAGAAGAAAACGTGATCAAATAGAAGAACTAAGCGATGAGTAGCTAGTTATAGAGTAAATGAAAGAAAAGGCGCCTATTCTTCAAATCTGGTGATTTGTAACTTTTTTACCAATTCGCAACTTTCTGTTTGGTAATTAAAGTTTCTAGTAATAATTCTGGCAGCTAACCGCTGCACAGATTCCGATTGGCGCAGTATGGGTAACGAAATCCGAGTCGTAGATTGCGGAGCAGTAGTCAAGTTTAAGATACAAGACTTATAAAGAAGTAAATGAAATGAAACAGGCGCATCACGGAAACTCGATTTATGGCGCCTAGCAAGAAAAAGCTGTTTCACTAATATGAATAGACCATTTCAGGTCCTGCGATAGACGTACTCTGAGAACCTTTGGCATTTGATCATGTTTCTAAACTTGATTATTAAGAGAAAAAGTTAAATTTGGCTGAAACTTCGGATCTAGACAGAAATATGTCCCTGAACATTTATCAATGTTCAACTCCATGCGGTTATTCATACACCAAGTACAAATAAGATTAATTTCTTCTTGAACTAGACTTTGAACGACAGCTGTAGAATCTGTTTTTAGTGATATTGTTTCCAGATTCTGAAAGCATAATTTCGCTTTTGCATATATATATTTTAGTAAGCTTAGATAGAGCGATGGTAGGTTTCATAATTAATTTAACCAGGTTAGGTTACCAATAGTCGTGGAGCACCAGTCCCAGGATTCCAAGGAAATTCGATACCATGCCCAAGCCATTGAAAATCAAGATCTCGTTTGAATCCTATTTTGAAGAGGACACTTTGAACTGTCCATGGCAAAAAAGATCAAATATTGGAAGCTTCTGAGAAACAACTGAGTTTTTCATAGAACTCCTAGAAACCTATTTTATGAAACTATTTTAAAAAGATTTTTGATTATGAAACACAATCCCAAATTCCCTCTTTTGGATGGGGAGAGCCGCAGATCTCTATCTCATTTCTATCAAAAGCTATTCAAGAAACATCCACGGGCCTTATATTTTGAAATGAATAGGGGTTATGATATATAATTACGTAATCTTTCTAAGTCTTCACTTAATTTACTGATTCAATAGCGACATGAACAAATAAATAACTTATTATTAAAATTAGAAAGCTACTTATGACAGTATCTTAGCATTGATTGGAAAATGATGTTTTCTAGTGTATGTAGATTCTAACAAAACGTGCGGGAAATTCAAAAATCAAACGGAATTTTACTTTTCGTTTTCTTTGGCATGATTAGATAGAGTACACTGAGTTGCATAGAAAAAACTTAATCCCACAATTTTGGAACACATTTTTCGATTAAAAAAATTTTAAATATCGAGTTTTTAAAAATAGGTAAAAATATGCAAAATTTTGAATAAAACTCAAAATTTAACCATTCATTCTAGTTTTAAAATTCTAACACAATTTTTTTTCTTACTCTTCATCGAAAACGGCTAGAAAACGAATTTTGGGAATTTCAAAACGCAGATCGACTTTGAGAACCGTTGAAGACGAGCAGGATTGCAAAATGCCCACTGGTCAATCATGCAAACCTATCTGATCCAGGATTTAGAAGATAAAGTTCACTTTCGTACTTCATTCTAACTGATATACTTATGAGAAAATAATTTTGTGTTTCTTTTTTTGTCAAAAATCCAAAACCACAAATTTTCAATCGAATTGAGACCGGTCTGATTTATGAACATCTGCAATTACATAATATTTAGATGTTTAGATATTCCAATATTAAAATGTTTAGATATTCAGATATTAAGATCTTCAGTTCTTCAGTTCAGACACATAGATGTTCAGATCTTCACGTATCTTCCTGTTTTCTTTCACGGCAGAAAATATCAGGGAGGAGCTCACTCTCATCTCTCCCCCCTCCACCTTCCCTTTTTCCCATTTCCAAAACAATGCATATTTTCAGTTTATACTGGAAAAAACCAAGCTTTTGTGCTTTTCTACCTTCTCAGAAAAATACACATTTTTGAATATATGCTAGAAAAACATACTTTTTTGCTTTTCTTTTGTCATGATTGTATGTCGATTTGTTCTCTCCACTTTTGGAGATCGATCTGAACATCTACAGATCTGAATACGTCAAAATCTAATAATCTTTCCCAAAAAAGCTATCAGTTTTTTCCAGAAATCATATTTATGAAAAGCAGACCCTACTACTCAAATTCCAAATATTCCTCAAACCTGCGACCCGTGTTATGCCACCACTTCACTGGGGTTGTTTTGATACAAGTTTCGACTTTTTGAATATTCAAATATTATGTTCAAACATTCTAAACATTCGAAAGTTGCAAAAGTCTGAATACTCGAATAATCGAAAAGTCGAGTTCGAATATCTAGACATCAATCATTTAGTAATGCCTAAGATCATTATTCCTGGCATGCTGTTTTTTCGCTCAGTCACGCGTCTGGAATGCTCGCCGGGATATTAAAACCTCGTTCTCATATTCTACAGACTAAGTGTTCCTCTTGTTTGCGTTAACTAAGGGCGTCCGCTCATTTTTGGTTCTTCGTAAAGTTCTTGTCAAAGATAAACCAAAAATAATAAAAAGTTTATAGCTTCAGAGGGAATGAAAAACTTTTTTGTGTATCTTTTCTTTTTTATTTCAGCTCTTTATCTATCCTCTTCAAAGTTTTAACCGTCGGAGAGCATTCCAGAGGCTATTTTTTTTATTTCTTCTGACATCTAGAATGTTGTCCGAACTGTATAACCTTGTTCTGATACTTTGTAAACTGAGATTTCCTCTTTTTAGTATTGATTAATGAAACTCTAATTTTAATCACATATGCAGATATTGATAATTTAATTTGTACTAGTAGAACCGGATTCTAATGTAAAATAAATAAGATATGGATAATTTTGAGTATAACTGCATGAATATGAGTAGTTATCTCTTATACATATTGACACTCTCGGTGCCGCGTAGCTCTCTCATTAGTCTTTAACTTCTTGTAAACATGTCCGATCAGTTTACTGCTAAATCGTTCTAGATGAGATTTAGATACCACTGCTGAAGTATGCAAAGTTCCATTTTTCCGTTTCTTCCATCAGTCTTTGATATATAATAAATGCAAAGGTTTGAGTTAACAGTCGATAATATAAATTATATCTCATCATATTCATATGTTGCATTGTACGGAATGAGTTAGTATGTGAAAATGGTAAAAATAATTGTTTTTCATCATCTAATGAGTCAAGTTTCTGAAGTTTACGCTTGTAAAATAGGATAGAGACGGACTATACACAGTTTGTTTATATGATGAGCTTTTTATGATTTTTCTTCAACATTGTTTGTACCCATATCGTCAATGAAACGACAAGCAAATCTTGTACAAAGCATTAAGCTCGTATTTCTTTTCTGTTCTTTTCAGCTAGATACATTTTTTTCCAATATGTGCAATAGTTTGTTCAACGCATATGGAACATGGTTGAACCCTATTCCAATATGTTCTTGTTACATTCGACATAAGATGATAACATCTTCTTTCAACGACCGATCTATTTTTACTTGTCTATAATCAGTCAGAAATATACTATTTCCAAACATGGATCGTATATTCATCAGGATATGAAGAAAATAGAAGAAAAAAAACGAAGACAATCGACGTCATAAATATTATCGTTATTTAGATCTTATATATGTACAGTAAAGAATATTCGAAGAAGAAAAAGAAAAAAATATTGCCCATAAATAATAATACAGTTATAATACAAAAAGGAAAAAAGTAGGAATTTGTTGTGTACGTCATTTATTAACTAAAGATGTTACCCGATTTGGCTTTTTAACTGGTATTCATTGTCGGCGATTATTGTTGTTTATATATGTATAATAAAACACAAAATAGTTTTGTGTTCCTTAACAGGAAGATCATTATACGGATGAGCTTTTTTTTGTGTGTGCGTATCCCAAATCATATTTCTTTTTCTTCTCTCTTTTTTTTCTCTCTCGGTTATGTGAGAAAGATTTCCCAGTATATAAGCGATAGACAATCGTACAATTTGCTTTGCGGGACAATCTGAAAGAGAAAACAGAGGGAGAGAGATACGATTAAAACAAAGAACATATATTTCTGTACACATTAGCTTAACTACTTAACTTTTAATAAAAAATTAACAAATATGTGCGACGAAGACGTAGCTGCAATTGTTATTGACAATGGTTCTGGTAAGACACTTTTTAACTTTGTTATTGATTAGTGAATATTTTATTTTTTAACATTAGTTTTAAGTTAATTTTTGCAATAAAATGAAACTTTCTCTCTAATTTATATAAAGAAAAGAAAATTTTTATGATACCATGTAATAATATACAATAGGAGACTGAGAAAACTGAGATATGACAATCTATCGTTATTCGATGAAAGTTTTTTCGTCTTTGTTTCCAACTGCTCATTCCCAGTTAGTCAATACTTTTTCGCTAACTTAAAGTCAAATTTATGTTTAGGTATGTGTAAAGCTGGTTTCGCTGGAGATGATGCGTAAGTTTATTACTATTCACCTTTTATGCACACAAGACTATATATATTCAATTTGTTTTAGTCCACGTTCAGTATTTCCCAGTGTTGTTGGTCGTCCACGTCATCAAGCTGTTATGGTTGGTATGGGTCAAAAAGACTCATATGTTGGAGATGAAGCACAAAGCAAACGTGGTATTCTAACATTGAAATATCCCATCGAACATGGTATCATTACTAACTGGGATGATATTGAAAAAATATGGCATCATACATTTTACAATGAATTACATGTTGGAAGAACTTAAA